CGACAGAGTTTTCTGGTTTGGACGATGACTTGAGAGTTTTCTGGTTTGGACGATGACTTGAGAGTTTTCTGGTTTTCTATGGTGACTTGAGAGTTTTCTGGTTTTCTATGGTGACTTGAGAGTTTTCAGGTTTGGACGATGACTTGAGAGTTTTCTGGTTTTCTATGGTGACTTGAGAGTTTTCTGGTTTGGACGATGACAGAGTTTTCTGGTTTGGACGATGACTTGAGAGTTTTCTGGTTTTCTACGGTGACTTGACAGTTTTCTGGTTTTCTACGGTGACTTGACAGTTTTCTGGTTTTCTACGGTGACAGAGTTTTATGGTTTTCTACGGTGACAGAGTTTTCTGGTTTTCTACGGTGACAGAGTAGGCGCTGGGTTTTCTCAACAGGCCGCTGCATCATGATTGATTCCATTAGAAAGCAATGAGACAAAATGGTCAGAAAAATATTCAGAGTCATTAAAATATCTGCAGCTTTTAGACACAAAGTCCAGATGGTTCAAGGAAAGTTTCAGTTCCTGCAAAATCAGGCAGAGGATTTTTGATCGTTCTTGTCAAACAGCATTTTCTGATTGAAGGACAATTCATATTCTTGTTCATATATGAAAAGCAAAGAAAGTTGGATGGGGATTTAAAAGTATACAAAGATAAATGGTGTGTGTCTTTCATCCCAACATTGTCACTATTGAAGCAGAATGAGTCCTTGTGGTGTTTGCTTGTTTCCATTGAGCAGCAGCAATAAATATTAAATAAAATGTGTGTGTAGAATAGATCCTCTGGCTGTTCTGTCCAGGACAGAAACGTTTCAGGCTCCTCCGCTGGTGGTCTGAAAACTCAGGGCTATACCTGAGAACAAGACAAAGAAACAGCAGTTAGTCATCAGCATACAGGATGGCCTTTTCATCCTCAAATCTAAAAAACAGACGTAAACTGGGGATTTGGAGCCGATAACGGGCAGATTAGAATAACGCACATTTAAAGAACCAAACTAAAGTTAGAACAAGTTGAATAAGTGAAGAAAACGAGCCTGTTGTGAACGGCTTCTGGACCTAACGCCTCTGCAATCTGCAGCTTCCTGTTTGTCTAACAATTGGATTTTCCAGTAAAAACAAGGGTCAAAAGGTTATGGGATCTGACATTCATTAAAGAAACATTTTAATAGAAGGTTTAGTGAGGATGGCTGGGACTAGTTCCTGGAACTGAGCAATGTGGCCGCACCTTTGAGCAGCAGAAAGAGAGAAAACCTTTAAAGCCTGTGTAACTCTGTTAAAAACAAAGAAAACACGTTCGACGATTAACAAACATAACCTATGATGAAGTGTCGGGATAAATATTTTAAAGACTTTTAGAGCTTTGATTTTACATGAAACAAGGAAACAGCAAACAGGTTTTGTTTAGTGCTTTAGCTTCTTCGCTAACTTTGCAGACGTTTAGCACACTTAGCTTCCCCCGAGATAATTCAACAGATAAACTCTAAAGCACTAATTTACTCGGCTGTTTTCAGTTGAATGAAGTTGATTATCTGTGTTTAAGTTTTGCTTATTGTCTTATGAATTCTTCAAGTAGTTAGACATTTACTCTGTACCCAGAATGCATTGCTGTTCTACAGTAAGCAGTTAAAAATCTACTGATGTCCTCCATGCTTTCTGGCCAAAAGTCAATGAGGCTAAATTAGCAACAAAGAAATTTAGCAGCTATGAAGCTGAAGCTGTGGGTGAAAGGTCAGCAGCCTGAAGCGAAACCGTCCAGGAAGGTTTGACTGTTGGATGATGTGCCATGCTATATCAACATGATGGAAATGAGTGCTTTAGCATTAGCTTTCACTAAGCTATGTTGGTATAATGGTTTAGCATTAGCAGATAAAATGTTTATGATTAGCACTTTAGGCTTAAAATTTGGTTCGCAGGTTTGAATTTACTGTTTTTCTCCTAACATGTAAAGTTTTGCATGAAATGGAGAGAATTTAACAGAGAGCTATCGCTAACGTCCAGCCAGCAGCTGCATGTCAGGCTCTCATCTGAACTGCTGTAGGAACGGACGGTGAAGGATCACTGAGTTTCTGGAAGAATTAAGATGCAATATAATGATTACTAGATTCTGGATCAAATAAATCATGAAAATCCACCAGAAGTGGCATTTATGCTGACGACGCGCAGATCGAAACACCTGAAAGGAAAAAACAGAGGCCGGTCATGAAAAACAGATTTCAGGTTTCCCAACGGTGGCAGCATCATGCTGGAACTCAATCTGCAGACAAACTAAATATTCTGATGTTAAACATCGTATTTAATTATTAACATGTTTAATTTGAGGATACCTTATGCTAATCTAAATTAATGTGGCATCCTAGAAGGTTTAGTTGAATATTAAGTCAATTTACATCAAGGAAAAAATAGAAACTAGAAAAGAACCCAAGAGGTTCTGCACATTTCCTGAAAGCTGCTGGTGGCATCGATGGGTCGGGTCGGATCCAGGAGCGGTTCCTCCGGTAACAGGATAATCATAAAGAATTTAGCAGAACCAAAGTGAGGTTAACTGGGAGTCGAAGCGGGTTTGTTATGGCGTCCAGAGCAAAGCTTTGCGAGTTAGAAAACATCAGACTCTACGCCGATGACGGTCTCGTCTTCAACCCAAAGAGTCTGAAGAGTTTCCACAGTCAGTTGGACATTATGGGAACAAAACCAGGAACAGAAACACAGAAGGTAATGAGAGACGGGGAAGACACGCAGCAAATGTCGCCAGGCTGGGAATCGAACCTGCGACCACCGCCACGAGGACTGAGGCCTCCATACATGGGTCTCACTTGTTCCTGGTTTTGTTGTGGCCACTCACAGATGTTGGGTCGGACGGTTTTCATTTGTTCATCAGCAGCGGAGCGGACGGACACAGAAAGGAACAGGCAGCATGCAGGTGGACTGGAAAGCAAAGTTTAAACACTTACCTGCTGTCTAATCAGTTCAGTAACATAATCAAGCTGTTCTTCTAACAACCTATAAATGTTCTGACACATATCAGCAGAGCCATCAGGAGGAAACCCCAAATATCCACATATGTATAGATATTTGAGTCTTAGATCTGTTAAATCAACTGTACTGACAGAAACCGGATCGTTTCCTTCCAGCTGCTACCCAGAATCCCCTGGAAGGAAATGTTTTTATTTCATAAGGATTGTTAGTTCATGGAACTATGACATAAAATGTTCAGTAAATTAAAGGTGATTTATTTAAACTACACATGAAATTTTATTGCTTTGTTATTATCTGTATTATTCATGAAAAAGATGTTCAGGTAAGAATTACAGCAAAATCCCTACAGACTGAGCATCCTGATGCTAATGCTAATGCTAACAGTTTCATTAATATTCAACAAGCTGAACCGAGAAACCACATGATGTCATCACATGAATACATTTGACTTTTTATCTGCAGTGGAAAGTTTTGAAATCAGGGAACATTTTTCAAAGTGAAGAGACCAAAAGAAGAACTCAGACGGTTCATCTGACCTCTGACCTCCTCACATATTTTAGCCATAAAGATGAGATGCATCAGTAAGTCGTATTCATCGCCTGGCCTGCCTGACCAACAGGAAGTGACTCCATATATGGATGACGGCATGAGAGTCGACTGACTTTGGACACAAACTGTTTCCCTGACTGGCTGATTGTCAGATCCATCGGTGGTCCAACTCATCAGAACCAAGGACGGGTTCTGATGAGCGTTCAGCCTTTTTTCAGGTGAAGTAATGAAGACAGATTTCTGCTGGTCCGTCTGCAACTGGATGAATTTTCATTTCTATGGTTTAATTTTCGCTGAACTCGAGTTCAAGCTGCAGATGTTGCAGCAGGAATTTTAAGTGGCTCCTTTCGTTTTTCTGTCCGTTGCTTCGAACCGCCGACCGGGTTTGGCGCTGAAGACGAAACATGATCAGTTTTCAGAAACTTTCCACCGTGTGGCGCTCATGGAAGACAAACATCCAGAGCTGCAGGCCTGAGCACAGCTGCAGAGCGAGGCTGCAAAAAATAAAATCCTTTAAATACGGAGAAGGTCATCTGCCGACTGACCGGAAACGCAAGAACGACTCCTGGGAGAGCTGTGGGCTGAACCGGGCCGGCCGGGCCGCAGGAACATCAGGGTTCTGAACCGGGCCATCTGGAGGTGGATCGGATCCCCTACGGCGTCTGTAACGATGTTACTTTGAGACATCTGACGCTCGTTTCCACTGAACGGTGCAGCAGGTCGCTGTGGTTCTGTTCGGTCCGCATTCAGGCGGGGTTAAACCCAAACCTAAACCCAGGTGTCGGATTCCTCCGCTGCTGCGCCTCCTGCTGGCTCAAAGCAGTGACGTTTCTTCGTCCCCAGCACTGGGCCGGGTTCTGTGATGCTCTGCCCCAACCGGACCTGCAGCCGGACTGAGCCGACCCACTCACTGGAGCCCAGACATAAGCTAACTAGCAGATCTCCTGCCCAGCAGGAGCAGAAAACGGGTCTCATGATCATCACTCTGTCAGTTAATCGGACCTGCTGAAGAACCGTCATCCGTTTGACTCCAGCAGAGACAAAATGTGACGACCTGCCGAACGAGTTCAGACTCAGATGCAGTCAGAAATAAACCAAAGAAACTCATCCAGATCTTTAACCTGTCATTCACAATGCCAGGGGTGTCAAACTCCAGTCCTCTGCTGTCCTGCAGTGTTTAGATGTGCCACAGGTAAAAAACAGTGGAATGAAATGGCTTAATTACCTCCTCCCTGTGTAGATCGGTTCTCCTGAGCCTTGCTAATGACCTAATTATTCTTTTCAGGTGTGGTGCAGCAGAGGCACATCTAAAAGTTGCAGGACAGAGGCCCTTGAGGACTGGAGTTTGACACCCGTGAATGACAGGTTAAGCTCTGTGATGCTGTGAGTCGCATTATATTTACAATAAATAACCATCAACCATCTCTGGGGCTTTTATTGTAAAGGCAGGTTTGTTCCTGTACTCAGAATCAGAATAAACTTTATTCAGGATGTTTTGCACACAAGACATTTAACTTCTGATCCACTTGTCTCTTAAAAACACAACAGCAAGGCACCTCGGCTGCCATCTTGGATTCTTCCTGCAAGACCCGACAGGCCAGAGTCCAGATGTGGCCAAACGCCACCAAGACAGAAACAGCTTTTAATCTCCAGGATTATCATTCCTGGGAATTTTAACTGGGAGAATCTGTCCAGTGAAGTGTCCCACTGAGACACCGTGTCCCACTGAGACGCCGTGTCTAGATGGATTCTGTCCCTCATGCAGCTCTGATCATTAGTCGTGTTTAAGTCGATGATTTTTATGCACGTTTTGAGGCTCTGCGTTAGAAACTGTTGATGGAAGCAAACCTTTCTGAAACTGAGGAGGACCAGTGGACAGAGGACCAGTGGACAGAGGACCAAACGAGCCTCAGCAGGCTGACTGTTCAATCTTTCCCTGAAGCACAGAGACGACCTTCATCACCTCCTTCCAACCTGCAGCCAGTCTGGACTGATGCAGATCTACAGGATCCTCTGAGGCTGCAGCTGCAACCACAGATCAACTTGATCTAATCGAAGTAACTGATCACTGCGACATCAGGAATCAGGACGTTTGTCTAAAAACAAAAACGATTTTCACATAAAACAACAAAAATTTATGGTTCACTTCACAGAACACAGAGGAGACCTGCAGGACTGGGGACCGGCCCCATGGAGCCGGGCCCCATGGAGCCGGGCCCCATGGAGCCGGGCCCCATAGAACCAGGCCTTATAGAACCGGGCCCCATGGAGCCGGGCCCCATAGAACCAGGCCCTATAGAACTGGGCCCCATGGAGCCGGGCCCCATAGAACCAGGCCCTATAGAACCGGGCCCCATGGAGCTGGGCCCCATAGAACCAGGCCCCATGGAGCCGGGCTCCATGGAGCTGGGCCCCATAGAACCGGGCCCCATGGAGTCGGGCCCCATAGAACCGGGCCCCATACAACCGGGCCCCATAGAACCAGGCCCCATAGAACCGGGCCCCATGGAGTCGGGCCCCATAGAACCGAGCCGCTCTGTGCGGTTGCCTGCAGGAGCCCAACCCCAGACTGACTGGTGACCCTGAATCCTGACCTTTTCACCTTCGTTCTGCTGGTTCCAAACCTCCAACACATTCACCCACTCCCAGACAACTGGACCACCAGAACCCCTGGCGCTGCGCCCTTTGACCCTTTGACCCTCTGCTGGCACTAAAGACCTCAGGAACACGCTAACAGCCTGTTGCAGCGTCAGAAGACCAGGAAACCTGCAGCGTTTGCTCTGCATCAGTCTGGCCTGGGTTCAGGTCGCTCCTGCTTCGTCCCGGTCCCAACAGAACCTCCCAGACTTAAATGACAGGCCTGCTGCCCGAAGTCTGGGCAGCCGGAATGGAAGCACCTGAAGGAGATCAGCAGATCATCCCATTGGGTCCGGATCTCTTCCCGGACCGGACCAGGACCCAGACGTTCCTGCCGTCTCTCTAGTGAAAACCGAACAGCCAGAGGACTCAGACACTCTGAGCTGTTTGATGCGCTCAGACATCAAACAGCTTTCCTTTCTTTTATTCTTTCTAATAAAAGGTGAACGCACAAACATTTTCCCTTCAACTGTGTATTTTATTGCCTCTAATGTTTTTATCTCTAAACATTATGTCTGAGTGGTTGAAAACTCAAATTCCCGTCTTGTGCCAGAATCTTGGCCAATAAACTGATTCTGAGTTTCAGGGTTCAAACCTGCTTCCTTCCAGCTGCTGATTGGACGATAAACTCCTGTTAGAGCCTCACCTCTGTGGCGAACACACGCTGCTCCATGGGCTCCGGGACGATGAACACCGGCTGATACAGACTGTCCTTCACAAAACTGAGAGGAGGGACGACGATGGAGGAGTCATGTTTCTGACTGTTTGAGAAGAGACAGAGGTTTGGTTCAGGAACGGAGCTTCACAGACACGCTCAGTGAGACGCTCGGCACACCAGATAGGAAACATGATTCTACTTGCCTTCCAGAACACAAACATGGAGCTGAGAGAGAACAGGAAGCACAAAGAAAACCATCACACTGTCAAAGCCTTACGGGTCAAACTTGTTCTTCTCCAGGCGCTGCTCCTCTTTGGCCAGGTTACAGTCGGCCATTTTGTTTTTGATCATGGACCCCTTGTCGCTGCTCTTCTCCGCCAGCGCTGCGTCCTTGTTGGACACTTTATGTGGACCTCCAGGAAGAAGAAAGGCCTCCTTCTCCTTCAGGCTGCACACCGGCGCCCCCACCAGGCTCCCGTTGTTGGGGACGCCTCCGCCGATCACAGCGCTGCGGTTGTTCACCGTCTCCAGGTCATTCTTGACGGACCTGGACATGGCTGCCAGCTTCCTGCCCCGGCGCAGCTGACGCAGGATGTGGATGGAGGCGCACACCAGGAGCGACAGAGTGACCAGGCCGAGTGCGATGGCGGCAATCAGCGCCGGAGATCTTGGAGAGGGAATGCTGAGGGAGTACTCACAGCGAGCGCCCATGAAGCCCGGTGGACACTGGCACACGGGGCCGGAGAAGTGGGTGTAACACATTCCCCCGTTGCTGCAGGGGAAGTAGTCGCAGGGACTGCTGCGCACCGAGCAGTCCTTTCCAGAGAAGCCCAGGGTGCACGAGCAGCTGAAGTCATTGATGCCATCCAGGCACGTGCCGGCGTTGCGGCAGGGGTTGCCGGCACAGTCGTCGATGTTGGTCTCGCAGAGAGTCCCGGTGAAGCCCGAGCGACACTGGCACACGACCCGGCTGCCGAGGTCCAGACACTGTGCACCTGCAGAGGAGAGGAGACGGGGTCAGCTACAGACACCTGGAGTCAAGATATGCTGACGTCAATGCGACGTAATCAGAGACGCCTGTTCAGCTCCCAGCAAACACTCAACAAGCTAAGAGCTACCAGCTAGCTGTGGGAGGAGCCCAGAACACATGAACTACGGACAACATCCGCCTCCAGGCAGGACGTGAACCAGCAACGCAACGGCGCCAGCAACTCTCACCACGTTGCCTTGTGCACAAAATGCATGATGCAGGAATCAACCTGTAGGGGGGGCAACTGAGGAAAAAGAGAAAACTGCTGCACAACTACGTGGGATAAAAATTTTATTTTGACATAATTTCTTTAACATATTCCAAACATAAAGATCGGAGTTATGAAATATTTAGATCAGCTTACAGGCAGCTGGGTCATTGATTCTCATCTCCCTTCTCTTCTCCTTCTGGGATTTCTCCCATTCAGATCAATTTCTCCAGCAGAATGAGCCAATCAGTGAACAGAAGAAGTTGTTTTGGATTTCAATAAATTTCAGTGGAAAAGAAGTCCAAACATTGAGAAATTAAACAGGAATGTTTAAGACATTTTATTGCCAGCAAAGATGTTTGACTCGGCTCTTCTCTGGTTGTAGTGGAAGGATGGTTGTTTACAGCACAAGCAACTTCCTGTTAGCTTCATAGTGATGAAGCTAGCTGCAAAACGTCACCGCCAAACTTTCGCGAAAGGGTAAGATCTGATCCAGTCGTTTAAAAATGTTAAAGTTTTTCTGTAGTTGAGGGCCCAGATGGTCTGGGGGAAGCAGAGAGCAGAACAAGGAGCTGGTTTTTACCAGGCTAGCTTACATGTTGATTTATATTTGTATAGAACATTTCACCAACAAGGCATTTCAAAGAACTTTACATCATAAAAACACAAAGTCATGCAACACAGAATCAACAATTGAAACATTACATTAAGTCAAGTGCTATCGATAAGTTCTTAATCGATTATGTTTCCATAGCAACTCTAACCAGCTGGTTTCAGTCTGGGTTTGAAGGAACTCAGGATTTCAGCTGTTTTTCAGTTTTCTGTAAGTTTGTTCCAGATCTGTGGTGCATAGAAGCTGAAAGCTACTTCTCCATGTCTGGTTCTGGTTCTGATACAGAACCAGAACCAGAACCAGCAGGTTGATCCAGCAGCAGATCTTTAATCCGTTCAATGATTTATAAACTAGCAGCAGATTAAAGTCTCTAAGTGAAAGAATGTAGAACCAGGTGGTGTAGAACCAGGTGGTGTAGATCTAGGTGGTGTAGAACCAGGTGGTGTAGAACCAGGTGGAGTAGAACCAGGTGGAGTAGAACCAGGTGGAGTAGAACCAGGTGGAGTAGAACCAGGTGGTATAGATCTAGGTGGTGTAGAACCAG